TACAAATTATAACTTAATTAATGGGTAATATCTGTATTTAAATATATTTACTAGTCAATATATTTAAATACATATATTACCCAGTATATAATTAAGTTATAATTTGTACTATATATTACGAGGTATTATTTAGTTAAAATATAATTTTTTACCAGTGATTTTAACCAAGTTATTTATTTTTCGTGCATTAAGTGAAGTTGTTAGCTGGTCTTTCCTATTCTAGTTGTAGAAAAATAAATCAAATTGGAGCACTGCTTCAGTATAAACAAAATAACATAAACTTTCGAAAGTTCAAACTCATGAAAAATTATGCTCTTTTGAATATATTAAAGCAGTGATCCAATTTTGATTATTTTACTACCATTAGAACTGAAAAAGCTAGCTGAACAACTTTACTTAATGTATGAAAAATAAAGTACTTGGTAAAATGTTGTTTCTGACTACTTTTTGATTTACTCTCTACAATATTTCAAGACCCGATAAATTTTATCTAATCTTTATTACTGAAACAAAAAAATTAGCCTTGCACTAGCAATTGATCCCGTGGCCGTTGTGACGATTTGATGACCTAAATAATTTAAAAAATTTTCGACTTATCAATACTTGTATTTATTCAAAAAAAAAGTGTAGAAATTAGGACAAAAAATAGATCATATAACATACTATATAATAAAAAAAAAAAAAATTCTTATAAAGAAACACAACCATTACGAAGTTGAGATGGTTCATCTCTAAAAACATTCAGAAAAATAAAAAAGCAAACATTATTGGAAGTGTAAGATCAAGCAAATGCACATGCTTTTATAAAGGTTCAATTCCTTATAAGAAATGAAAACATATGAACTTACAAAAAAAAAAAAAAAGGGGAAATGTAATCTAAAATTTAAGCCTTTGAATGGTGAAAGTACATCGAAACAAATTTGCCAGATGAGTTAATGTAATTATCTAGCACAATTGATAACTACTTTTAAACTTAACTTATTAATAAGATAGGACCTGTAAAAAAACAAAAACAAAAGAAGGTTTAGTAAATAATGTTTAATAACAGAGAATAATGAAAAGCAAGTAAATAAAGGTTTAGTGAATTATGGTAAAATTTGAACAAACCGTAATAAAATATTTCTTTGCCAGTTTTTTTTATTTATTTATTTTTTTTTGTATTTTTTTTGTATTTTTTTTTTTGTATTTTTTTTTGTATTTTTTTTTGTATTTTTTTTTATTATTAATTTTTAATAAATCAATATCTGTAAGAAATGTAACTGAGAATAAACATATATAATATCTGGAAATATTTATTTATGGAAATAAGTGGGGTTGATTTAATATTCTTTTAAAAAGAACTAATTAACTTCGGGTTTTCTTTTGCAAAACAGTTCCCAAAAACAATTTCAAAAGCAGCTAGTCAATAATAAATCGAATAATAATGCATGCAATCAAAGTTTTATTTTCACAATTCTTCTATTCCTTTAATGTTTTCTCCTTTTGGAAAGACTTTGATCAATTGTCATTAAATTTTCATTTGCATATGGTATTTTTTCTTCAACAAATATGCGAAGATAATTCCTAAAAGGGTTGGTTATGATAGTTTCATCATAAATCGAATTATAATGCATGTCTTCTAATTTTTGTTTCCATAATTCTCTGATTTCTTTAATATCTTTAGCTTCGGGCTTCCTTTTGATTGATGAAATTTGTAATGTGTTGTCATTATATTGTGAAACATTTTGATCATCACTATTTAGATCATCTTCAACCTGCATATTTTCTGGTTCTTCACTCGTTTGTACTGAATTTGAATCCTCAATAGTTTCCATAGGCAATGGAAAAGTTACTTCTAAATCAAAAAGGACAGCTAAATAGTGTTCAAATAATGGGCCGAGAATTTCATCGCTAGCGCATCGTGAAATTGTCTTCAAGTGTTTAGGTAAGAAAAAATTTTTCGTGTTACAGTAAATCTTAAAGGTATTACAGATTGCCTTGAATGTACATTGATTCATT